TTTCCCAGCGAACACGTGTGATGGTATCTAGAGTCTCTTAATTAGCTACCTTCTTCTATGTGCATGCAACACGAAAGATGAGAATTTGGCGAAGATTTCGCGTCTCCCTCCTCAGACTCTTCATTACAGCCGACCATGCTGCTTTGTTTACATGGCATGGCCTGGTGGGAAGGTGACGTGACCCCCTTTCCGTTGCTTTGATTGGTTAATCTGATCTGAATCTGATTAAAAGGCTCGAACGGCGGGGCTATTCATTTTGATGTTTCGGCATAAATACTACCGCAATTATCTATATGTTGCCGCACCTCTCGGTTGCCGAATTTATTGTGGATATTCTTTTACTGTTTATCTTAATGCACCGTGAAAATTGTTTGGCCACATCACATATTGAAGGAAAGAGCTTTTCTAAACGCTTTTATGCATATCAGGTAGGGGACTATTATATAACCAACTTTTCTCAGCGCTGCTTTTACAGTTTTTTTACTCTTTGCACTATGTACCACTTCTTTGACTTGTGGACACCTTATTTGCAAAACATGTGCTCTAACCAGGCTACCCTGGGGACTAATGAGCTAAAGTGCCATATTACCAGAGATCATAAATTATAAACCCTTTCAATAACAGCCTTACAGCCTAGGTACCCTATACCACTTACCAAACCACTCCTTCACCCCAGAAAAATATGAACACAATACACAATTTTTCCATAGATAGACCATTTACTACACATACAGAAAATTACAGAAGCTTTCAGTGATTTTTTCCATGAAATAGAATGGCATTTTTGACCACCAATAGACTATATGCTACAAGTATGATGTCAAAATCTGTACACCAATCAAAGTGATATCCCTTTCATATGTCATATTATTTATAAGGGCAGATTAAATCTTGTCTGGTATATATGTTTCAAATGACATCATATTGTTTACTATTTTACACCAGTCTTCAATTTCCAACCACCTTGAGAGTCACATAGCAAGTATACAACCAAATGTACATTGATTTAAGTGTGAAAGCTCTGCTATCAAGCTACCGCAGTGCAGTGTGTAGATTAATTATATCAAAGTTGAAAAAGCCCAAATATCATTCATCAATCATTTCACCATCAATCATTTGAAAAATAAATCAGTTTTCCCAAACCCAAGCCAAATCTCACACCATGTATCATTACCACAATTTTTTGTATTTTAGCCAGCCGTTTGGCACGGTCTGACTCAAAATCATCTCCTTCAAGGTCACTGTCACTGTCCCTATTAAATGCTTTGTTTATAAAACCCTGAATTGAGAATTGGGGCAATATAAATAAACATTATTAGTCCAAAATGTAAATGATTAAGTATTTACAATATACAGTATTACTATGTATGTCAATAGATAATGAGGGAAATATTTCAAAAAGGAACATACAAATTGACTAAATGTATACTCACTGGGCACTAGAGCAAAGATAAACAATAAAAAATATAGAGGTTATATGTATATTGAAAAAGAGCATACATGTAAAAGTTATATGTATACTCTTTTTCAATATGCCTATAACAACAAACTGATGAACTAATATAGTATACAATGATTACAGTGAACCTTACCTTGAGCTGGGCAGTGGAAGGTGCATATTTTGATTTTTTCCTCTGTGTTTTTGGTGACAGTTTATCTGTTAAAGTCACCGCCTTTACAGCTCCTTTGAAAGTAGTTAGCTTGGATTTTTCCTTGTCACTGCCAGCTTGCTCTTTCTCTATTTTGTGCAATTCCTTCTCCATTTTTTTGGCTTCTTTTGCATTATAGCCAGGATCTGTAACATTTATATTTCACAACTTTCATAAAAATAAAACACAAAATAAAAATATCTGCTTGATTAAAACCTATAAACTGAAAAGCATTCTTTTAATTTCAATAAAAATGCACTGTGCAAAAGGTAAGTGAAATTTAAGTTGTTTTATGTAGTCCAGATAGACAGACAACTTTTTTGTGGCCTTGGCACTGACCTAAAAGGTCAAAGTTATTTGCAAGTGTCCTTTACCTTCAGCATTTCCATTGGGTATGGCACCATATCCCCCAGCATTTGTGTCTGATATAACATTCTCTTGTTGAGCTCCAACACCACCAACTAACCCAAACCTCCCTCTCTTTCTTTGTTTTTCATGTTCCTGAAAGAAAAAATCATTCATTTATAAATCAGGCACTGAAACATTGTATGTATGTATATATATATACAGCACTTGTCTCATTATAATTTATATTGTTTTATGGCAATGGAATGAGTGTTTTGGGCCATTTTTATCATTATCCTGAATAATCATTGGTTTCATGAAAAAATTACCACATACTGTACCTGGAAAGAAAATTGAGTATTTCTTGTATAATTAATTCAAAGAATGGATTCACACTGACAATTACGTGTAAGGATCAAATGCAATGATCCAAAATACATTTCACATAGATAGTTAGTAGATACATCAGATTAAGGCATATTTATGATAACTGATATATATATATGTACCAATAAATTTTGCAATCAGAGGAGAAAAAAAAAAAAAAAATATATATATATATATATATATATATATATATATATATATATATATATATATATATATATATTCATTCTCCTCATGTTACAATTTGTCAACCACACTTCATTGAAATAACATGCCAGGTTACAGAAATAGAAAATTCTGTTAGTTGACAGAAAAAAAGTTAGCAGATTTCATTTCAATAGCAATGCTACAATTCCTGTGTTGTAAAAAGGATGTTTCCATGCAAAGATCACCAGAGCTTCATGCCATATATAATGTCATGACCAGTCATGTTATGTAATGCCTTGTCATGCCCTGTGTCATGCTGTATATCAGTATATCCACTTGACAGAATTTTTTATTTTACAATACCCAGTAATTCTTCACGTCATATTATTTATAGAAGCAAACTCTGGTATACTGGTAGCTGTTGTCCAATAGAAAATAAAAATAGAAAAGGAACTGTACATAATGATATTTCGTGTAATTCCAAGAAGATTGCTTATTCCCTAAAGTATAATTCATATATCACTATGTAAAGGTCCACAGCTATATATTAGGTGACTGGTTTATACAATTGAAGCATGGTATCAGGCAAAACACTTTTCATAAAAGCAACCTCATCTTTTGCAATTAATAAAAGTGTAACATACTTTTTAACAATTAGACAACCGAAAGATCTAAATCAATGTGTGAATATACATTGTAACATGCTCTGTGTTTTTCTTTCATAGGTTTCATTTTTACTATTGATTATTTATACTACAATGTTTGGCATAACATTTTTCTTAAGCTGTATTTTTAAAATTACAAGGTTAAATCTAGTTTGTCTACTACTAATCAGAAATTTAATAACCATTATTACCCAAAAAAGATATATTAATCATACTTTGAACTGAAATTTGAACTGTTTTACAACAAACCATACTTTATTATAACCAAAGGAATAAGCTGACTTTTCTGAAAAATAAAATGTCATGAAACAAAAATAAATCCAAAAAATGCAGGCAGAACAATGATCCTTGGGTAAGCATTGGGTACCTTCACTTCTGCATCCCTGTCATCATCAGTCCTTTCAATTTCCATTTCCATTTCCTAAAAATTAAAAAATACCTTCCAAGCTCACTTATGAGTCATCTAGACCTTATTCTACTAGGAAAAAACACCAAAAGAACCATTTGTATCCATCTAGCCATATTGTCAGTTAAGTCAAGGCAGTGAGAAAAATGTCCATATATTCACATCAATTTTTAAAAATCTAATTTCAAAATTCTAATTTCCATCAAGATTACTATGATAAAAATAACATGTTAAAACACATACATCCAAACAACATTACAGCAAAAGCTCTGATCAACATTTCTCTTGAAATCCTTTTTAAAACATTTTCATGTCCTTTAACCTAAAAAAGAACATCCCCTTTCTGTCACTGCTCATTTCCTGTCAAACTAGATTTTGATGTTGAAACATTTCAACTATTCATGTAGGGATATATAAGCAAGGTTGGGTAACTCAGTATATACAAAACCCCAAGGCCTTTAAATGCTGTAATATTGCATCCATGACCCAAAATCTAAAAAACAACAAAACACTAATAATAATATTACAGAAAAAATGTTATGAAGAAAAGTATTATCTCTAACCCAATTGTAAAGATCTCCTTCAGGAAATAAAGTGTTAATTACATGCAGTTTGTAAAGAACTTTAAATCAACAGCAAATGTAACAAAAAAAGTAACTTTTATTTTCATATAAAAAGAACAGCTAGTAGCTAGACCATTTGAACCAAATAGGAGATTTTCTGACTGAAATTCAGAAAGCTTAGCATGCATGTATCCCTGTCTGCAAAATACCTGATCGTCCTCTTGTCTGCCAAAACCCTAAGTGATCACATTGCAACTGTTAGCATAATGTGAATGCATAGTGCTAATACAACAGCTATACACAAAAGTTTAAAAATATGATACATTTCATACTAAACAGAGTGCAGTACTGTACTTACTGTACTGTACTGTACTTTTTTTTTTTTGCTTTTTAAACTGCTAAACATGCATTTAGCAAAAATGCTTGTTATTTGAACATAGTTATGAAAATAGTCTGGCAGGTGCAATAAGTGAAGTTGTGGCTACACTGATTGAAGAAAGTACAGTACACACTGTACACCAAAAATAGTTCAACTAAAAATCATCTTTATTGCAATTTTATAACAGTTTACTATGTTATGTAACAAAAAATGTACTGACACATACAGTGGTAATATATTTCATACGGACTATATAAATTTCTTCTCTTAAAGTTCTCATTAAGCTGTCATCAAAGACAAACAAAACTGGGTCCTATTTCTAAAAACATTCTTCAGTTTTGTTCACAATATGATCTGTGGACAACTGCCAGTCATAAATGTGACAAACTGGGCCTGCCCACCTTCTTTCAGCAGTGCTGCCATCTAGCTATCAAAGAAAATATTAAATGAATTTTGTGTTTACCATTATCATCATCTCCACTGAGGCAAAGTACTTGCTCCACCAGTCTAATGTGTCTGTATCCAGGTCATCCTCGTCAGCAGTGCTGCCCTTCCTTTTCTTGTTCTCCTCAGTCTTGTCTGCTTTTCCCTGACAAAATGTATCATACATGCAAATTATTTTAAAAATCTGATTTTGACAGCAGGGACAGGAACTACCAGTATATTGGTGAAAAAGACTCCATTTTCATGATGTCCAATAAAACACTATTCCATTCGTTTCATTGAATTAACTCCTTATTTTTTCCATTATGCCCAATTTGTCAATTCAATATTTCCTTAATTTATAGAAAGAAAAATAAATCATAGTATGTTTCCTGGATAAGGTTGAGTCATTTAGTCTCTGAGCATGTGCATCAAAAATCTAATTCAGCTGTTATAAAGTATATAGTTATATTGTAATACTCTGGTATTCATCTATTGTGGACTGACCTGCTCTATGCTAATGATGGTTTCTCCTTTGTTAGAACCAATAAGAGGAAAATTCTCATCAATAGTCACAGCCACATCAGTGGTCCTGACAGAAGTGACCCCTGGCTGAACGTGACTGACCACAAGTGAGGGCCGTGTTGGAGGTGCCTGAGTGACACCAGGGGGTGTGGCGCCAAGTTGAGGGGTACCCAGGTGTGGCATTTGAGGGGTGCTCGGTGCTGGAGGTGGTTTGCTGCTGTCTGTTACTATGAAATTAGAATATAATTTTCATACAGAGTACAGATTTTTTAATATTTTACAATACGTGGATTATATGCCGACTGTGACACGTCTAACATACAAGAACAAAAAATTTACATGCTCACTATGATGTAACATACATATAACATGAAAGAAATGTCCTTGTACTTTTAACGAAGCTTGAATTGACGTGATCCTCTCTGATCCGGATCTTACTATTTCTCTTTATGTAAATGAGTTTCATGGGAATAAACATTTCATTAATTTGAGAAAAATCAATTAAAATTGACTTCAACTTCTTCCAACTATTTGTGTTAAATAATATGCCATGTATATGTGAGACATCCTTACTTACATTGCAAAAGCTTTGAGGCAGCCTCCCTTGCTGCTTTAGTGGTTGGTGTGTACATGAACTTCTGCAGGGAGTTGATGACATGAGTTCCAACGAGTACAAATCTGCCAAAGTTCCTACAGTCCACACACCTAATTGTGATTGGTGGGCAGTACAGATGGTTGTCAGGCAATTCCTGAAAGGGAAATATTAATTTGCATATTTATACGGTGATGTAATAGATTTAAGATTTGTATTTTGAGATATTATTTATCTAAATTCTTATTATCAATATCTTATGTATAAAAAATTACTTTCACTGATTTTCTCACTCCCCTTGAGTTTTCAAAAATAAACTTTAGCCAATTTTAATTAAAATTTAAAATCTTTACAATAATACTGGTAAATGCATGTGTATTACTTTAATGGTGAAAAGCATGACAAAATCAAAATGTAACACCCCAAAATAAATAATCTTTCAAATTTGTAATTATAGAAGACTGTCAACTTACCAGGTCCATGTGTTTGACAACTGTGCTAAAATTAGGATTCTTCCTCATATTGGTAATCATAGTGGACTGTAGGACATGTCCAGCACACTCTATGTCCACCCTAGGTCTGTCCACTGAGGTCAGCTGGACTCTTTTTAAGTCCCGCACTCCCCAGAACAAAACCTTCAGAGTGAAAGTGAAAAAGATTTTTTCATCAAAGTTGAAATAATGAATATCAATGTAAAATATAATATCTGTGTAAACTAAGTGATGGATTCACAAATATAATTCGTATGAAAAACCACTTAGGGTCCCTCTTGAGCACTTCCCAAGCAAGTGGTAGTGCCTTTTTGACCTGTTAGGTGTCTACATGCAAGCATTTGTTGTTTTTTAGCATAACTTAAGGTCTATCCAACTTCGTAAGTGGAAAATATGTGCTCTGTTAGCTAATATAAATTGAACTGCAGTTCTAGGTGGCTTCAATTTATAGCTCTCAAAAAGTGTCATATTCAAACATTAAAATTGCACCTAAATCAAAAGGTATGAATAGTCAAAAAATGTATATAATACACTTATAGGTAATTATGAATAGTCTGACACTGTACGTCAATAACATAATGCAAACAGTCAAATGATCAATTCTTAGTCTTCTTTATATCAGTAATCTATAGCCATGGGACAATTATCATAAGAAAAATCAAAGCAAAACAATTTCAATGACAGTATGTAAACAAACCTCCACTCTGTATTTGCTCAGGAAGGGGCGTATCCCCTTTGGAACTGGCAGAATTGGCCCCCTGGTGTCAGAACAAGTATCAGGCAGATTGATAGCTGGCAGTTCATCAGCACTCATCTCTCCAAGAGGAGACAACTGAAAAAAGAATAATCATAGTAGACTGTAGGACATGCAATGAAGAAATACTAAAAAGAGGCACTAATTTAATCATTTTTCCTCTTATTTATATGCCGTTTTACAATTCTGTGTTTTAACATCAATAGCCAAAGAGTTAACAAAAGAGAGATTTATACAAGTGCAAATGCTTTTGGTTACAAGGAATAGGAAAGATCTGAGTTTTTCACCAAATAGCAATAGGAGACTGAAATAATTCAACAGGCACTAGGAGCACAAAAATTGTATATAGTGAAAAATTTTAATGATTTTAAATATGATTTTAAATCTTTGAGAAAATTTTTCCTGACATCTGTGGCATCTCATTAGAACATTTACCCTTTTACAAGAATATGCTGGTGCATGTACCCATTTTCAGAGTGAACTAACTATGGCAAGAGAGAACATACAAGTTTTTAGCCATTATTTATATATATGATTCAGAAGTAGAAATTAACATATTTCACTATCAACAATTGAATCAGACACAACTCGGTCAAAAATGATGAACTATATATGATTTACTTTCTCATAATGACTGATATGTTAAGGCATGTTTTTAAACTTTTAAAGAATGTTTGGACTGTATGAATATGTGTATAAAGGTGTGTCTGTGTGTGGTAGGTGCACGCATGTGCATGCATATCCATCTGAAAATAATTACATGATTGTGAGTGAGCCTTGACATGTAAATAGCATGCGTATAAGCATGTGACAGTAAATACATGTAGTTATTTCTAAGAGTACTACTTCTATAGTAAATAATTTCTCTACAAGATAAGAAGCAAATATATACAAATATACAGCAAAAGAATCGAGGGTATATAATATCTATATTGGATAAGATTATCCATTTTTCAACATATAATAATATACCTGTGCTATTGTAACATAAAAAACTATACACAGTTCCATTCAATCCTATTTATTTGACAGTCAGGGCTAAACATCATTCAGGAAAAGGTAAACTATAAAGGTCTAAAACAT